TTATTATGTTAAGAAAAAAAAATTAAGTTTTACAATCACTTTATTGATTACACTAGAAAGTACATTATCATTTTTGCATAAAAACATGAAACAAGCATGTAAAAGTTTGATGATTTCTACAAAAATGTTTTATTTCAGGTAAAATGTACAATAAAAAAGAACAATCAAACCTTAAGGTGATGAATTCCCTTTAAATGTGAGGATTTTATTGTTATCATGTGGCATTTTTTCAAAAAACAAGAACAAGCAATCATTGCCTACGTTCCCTGATAAATAATGTTATTGGTCTTTTATGCCATTAGATTTTATCAGTAAAATCACCATCTAGGCTTCAAAGCAATCACCTCCAACCAATCTTTTTCCTGATTACTATCTCTTATTATCTGAGAAATCTGTGATTGCTGGTATTAACGTCATTTATACGATATTAGCTGGAAATCTATAAAGACTGTTCCGTCATATAAAACGTAAATGCCTTGATAAAAAAAATGATGTTGTTTAACCATTTGAGGTTCTTTATGCCATTTTATCCTTTTATACAGATCATAAAATGACACGGCTGAATGCCAAGGCAAACTGCTTAATACAAGGTTGAATTACATATATGTTTACTGTTAATCCTGCCAACTGATCTGTAATTTTGGCGAGCCGCTCCTGTGATAATGTATCTGTAAGATCACACTGCTATTTTATGGTTTAGCATTACTGCTGCATAGCTCAGTTCCAGGCTCATTGGACAGTGGTGAGGACACAGTTCCTGTATCTACAATATCTACATTGAAATGTAAGTTTGTAAGTAGAATTAAATGAAAATAGTATAAAATAGAAAGAAAACGAAAATGTGTCTACACTATCAGATCCCCAGAATTACAAATTAAAAAGGATTCAAAATACTAGAACTTTAAAGTCTCTGGAGAGACAAGCAATTATAACTAAAATAACAGAATTTTATTCATGACAAAGTTCAAATTTTCAAAATATATTTCTATAGAATCAGTAATTACATGTGTAATCATCCTCCTGTGCTGCTATCTAACCAACTGCCTTTTATCTTAGCAAGCTGGCACTCTTATCTGATTCACACACTTTGCAAAAACCAATTAACCCATTGAGTGCAGAGCTATAACCCCGGAAGGGGGTAAAAGTAGGAATAGACCTTCCTGCTATATGAGGTCCATCAGAAAAGGTGAGTGCACAATTCAGATGTTACTAAACATGCAACATTGTACCCATATACATTTTTATCGTTTTTTTCACACAAATAGAGCTTTATTTTGGTGGCATTTAATCACCACTGGGGTTTTTATTTTTTTTACTGTAAATGAAAAAAAAAGAGCAAAAAATTTGAAAAAAAAAAGGTTTTCTTTGTTTCGATTATAAAATTTTGCAAAGCAGGTAATTTTTCTCCTTCACTGATGTGCAATGATGAGGCTGCACTGATGGGCAATGATAGGCAGCACTGATGGGCACTGATAGGTAGCACTGATGAGGCGGTGCTGATGAGGCGGCACTGGTGGGCATTGATGAGGAGGCACTGAGGAGGCACTGATATGCAGCAATGATGGACACTGATAGGTGGCACTGCTGGGCACTGATAGGGGGCACTGATTGACAGCACTGATGGGCAGCACTGACTGATAACACCAACTGGAGGCACTGACAGATGGCACTGATGGGCAGCACTGATGGGCGACACTGTTGGGCACTGATGGAAGACACTGCTGGGCACCAATGAGTGGCACTGATGGACGACACTGCTGAGCACTGCTAGGTGACACTGGTGGGCACTGCTGGGTGACACTGCTGGGCACTGCTGGGCGGTACTGATAATCAGGGCACTGATCATCAGTGCCCTGATTATTATTAGTGCAGATCTCCCCTGTCACATTTGTCAGTTATCGGCAGTACTTTCCTCACGCTGTGACAGCGCAAGGAAAGTGCAGCCAATAACCAGCAACTGGACACAGCTGATCAGGTGGTAAAAGGCTGCTGTGATTGGCCTTTTACCTTGTCCTCGACAGCGCCGGGTGTACGCCGCTGGGGGCACACATGGGGCTCATTTTGGGAGGACGTCCATGGACACCCACCCAGAACTAGACAAGCTGTAACCTGTAGCGATGCACACTAGCACATTATGACATTTTTTTGCAGGGTTTTTTTTTTTTTTTTGGGGGGTTTATTAACACTTTAAAGTGGTATTAAACTCAAAGCTAAAAATGTACTATATTGCAGCTTACCAGTCATTAGATGGGGTGGCTGCATTAGATTTCTTTTCTTAGGCTTTTTTTCCCCTATGTTTTCACCTGGTGATCTGACCAGTAACACACCTCCTGTATTAGAGTGCCCCCGCTCTAGATGAAGAAGCACATAAAACAACATTGTCAGTCTGGGGGGGAGGGTAGGGTTAGATGTACTAGCAGATTTAAATACACTGACAAATTGAAGCCAAACTCCAGCTAACACTTTATAAGCAGCTACAGCAAAAATCTGTTTTTTTTTTCCTTTTGGGATAAAGGTTTTATATAAATAAATAAAAAAGCTGATTATTGTAAGCACCCCTGTAGTAGTAAATGGTTTGTCTCATTCTTGTAAATTAATACATTTTGCTGGAGAGCTTGTTCTTTTGAAAAGCAGCACACAATCTCTAAGATCATTAAGGATGTCTGTAGTCACAAGGCCCAAGAGCAACTGGATGCATTCTGTGATATCAGACCAGATCTTCAGGAGACAGCCCCTCAGTCAGCGTATCAGAACCTGAGTTTCAGCAATTCAAGCCTTAAAGTAACCTACCTAAGGCCTATGGCAGCAGCTGCCTGGGAGGGCAACATGCCTTCTCCTAGGCTTGGACAATCCTAGCCAGGAAAGATCCTGAGCCCTGTGTGCTCACTGAATATATACAGTTATCCAGCATGCCTTGGAGCCCCTCACTCTGGGATAGGCTGAGGCTGTATCAATATTCATGATGCCATCTACATAACTCCAAAGCTATTATCCAGAACAGGGGCTGACTGACAGCTCATGGGGCCCCCGGGCAATAGGGGATCATGGGGCCCCTGTGTCCTTGCCCAAACTCAAAAAACCTATGAAAAAGGTACCAGGGGCATATCATGGGGCCCCCTACTGACCCCGGGCCCTCGGGCAGTGCCCGAGTTTCCAAATGGTCAGTCTGCCCCTGATCCAGAAACATCTGTAGTTTCCTGGATACAGAGGAAGTGGGTTCTTAGCTGTTTGTCTGCGATGGAGTCATTTTTGGGTTCCCTGTCTTGCCTGACCCTGCTCTGAAAGCCCAACCCCTGCTGACACCACCTTAAACCTCCAGTCAGAGGGACCCTTTGGCTGCAAGCACAAATTAGATTCAGTTTAGAGTGAACTCATGTCTTGGTTGTATTGAGATCAAATGTAATCACAGTAAAACAACAAAAAAGTGTGTGCATGAAATAATAGCTAGCAAAAGTTAAACACAGCAGAATCTCAATCAGTTATGGACGTCCTACAATCAAGAATTTAGCCAGTTACCCCAGACCCGAAATTTCTTTCCCCAGTAAGCAGAAAAAAAAAACTACCAAACAGAGCAGCTAGCTCACTTTGGGCTCTCAGAAACAGGTGACAGGGTTCAATTCTAAGGCTAAGAGAAATTCATGAACTAAATAGGTCACCGTCCCTTTAAACTGCCTGCTGTCAGACAGTCCTGCAGGCAGTCCCACAAAGCTTTGCAACAGGGTCTGCACATTTGGACGCTGCCATCTTGTGTCCATTTAACATCCTGCAGTATCATGGCAGGGTTTTACAGTAGTTTTTAAAATACATGTGCAAAATCACCTGGTATCTTTATCCTGACCTGAGATCTTGTTCAGCTCCATATATAATCCTCACATACCATAAATATGTTGTCCCTGTCCTTTTTGTTATTTCAACCTCCTTGAAATTTTGGATCATTATAACGCACACACAAACTTTCATTTCAAGTTCTTGTAAAACATGCAGGTACTTTGAAGCTGTCAGATTTTTATAGAAGAACTTAGAAGAAATCTGTTTATTTACTTCTTTGGATCCTGTAATATCATATCTAGTGAAGGCGACCTGCTGTTTTTATTCATTCACATCTGATCGAAGAAATGAGGTTTTTTTTTCAAATATTATTGTGTGCAATTTTACATTTTGTAACCTCTTGCTATATTTTGAAACCACCAGGAAACACAAAAATATTCTGTCTGTATGCGTTTTCCATCAAATGATCATGCACTGGTTTTGATTTACCATGTATTTTTTTTTTTCGGAAGCCAATCTTCCCACCAAACCAGATATATGTCAGATTTATGTTTTCTGAAAAGGTGAGCTAAATGTTAGCTGTTTATATTTCTTGGGAACCACAGGAGTAAAACAGTCTCATCAGAATGTGGGGGATTCTGTTAATGTTTTATTCAGTATATATTTGTTTCCTTTTTTAAAGTATTTTTTCTTGGTGTTTATCATCTGTATCTAGAATAAAATACAGGGGGAGATTTATTGAAATTGGAGCACGCTGAATCTGGTGCAGCTGTGCATGGTAGCCAATCAGCTTCTAACTTCAGCTTGTTTAATTAAGCTTTGGCAATAAAACCTGGAAGCTGATTGGTTACTATGCACAGCTGCACCAGATTTGACTTATTCCAGTTCTAGTAACCACTTGCCTTCCTGAGAATTTACCCCCCTTCCTGACCAAGCCATTTTGTTTACCTTACGGCTCTGTGTTACTTTAACTGACAATTGTGCAGTCATGCAACACTGCACCCAAATGAAATGTATGTCCTTTTTTTCCCACAAATTGAGCTTTCTTTCAGTGGTATTTGATCACCTGTGCATTTATTTTTTGTGCTATAAAAAAAAAAAGACTGACAATTTTGAGAAAAAAAACATTATTTTTTACTTTTTTCTATTAAACATGTCCAGTAAAAAATTTTAAAAAATCCAATTTCGTCATAAATTTAGGCCAAAATGTTTTCTGCAAATCCTATTACGTGTAAATTAGTTGGTTTACATGAAAGTTATAGCGTTTACAAATGGCGGTATAGATACTGGAATTTTTTTTTGTACTAAAATGGGGAGAATCAGTGACTTATAGCAGGACTGCGGCGGGCATTCTGACACTGGAGAGAACTGACTTTGTGTCACTGACATTCCCAGTGTCATCAATACAGTGATCAGTGCTAAAAAAAGCACTGACACTGTACTAATGGCACTGGGCAGGAAGGGGTTAACATGAGGGGGCGATCAAAGGGTTACCTGTGTGCTGGGTGTGTTTTACTGGGGGGCAATGTGTTGGTGCTTCACTGTAAGCACACTGCTCTGGATGGCTGTGCTGTGCACAGCCATCCAGAGCAGTGTGCCTGAGCAGACAGGGAGGAGGACTGTTAGTAAACAAAACAGCCCTCCTTCCCATCGGAGATCCTCGGTAATCACTTGGCGCTGGCAGCCGCGAATGGCAGTGACAGTTCTGTTGATAAACAAAGCCAACAAATCAAAGCTTATCAGGAAAACAATCAGTGCTGACATGATGATGAAAAGTGTGGACTAATCTAAAAAATAGTACCACTCTAATGCTCCAGAAGGTGAATCCTGTGGCTGGTAACACTGAATGCTGGCTGATGGTCAAGATGTAAGGCTTCTCAGGCTCAGCTTACAGAAAATGGAGCCTGACCGCACACAGGATCAGTAGACTGTAAAGCTAAGATATTGAAGGATGATGACAAATGGCTTCAGTTTGGTTCTCCACCCATAAAAGAAAGCTAATGCATTTTGCCCACATGGGTGAAACGCATTGGAGACATGGTTGGAGAGCTGAAGCCAATTCTCATCCTTCTTTATTATCTTAGCTCTACAGTGTGATGATCCTGTGTGCAGCCAGGCACCATTTTCCCGTAGTCTATGGTGATTTAAAGGTTTGTTAGAAAACTAAACACCTAAAATAAGGGTGATTGTTAAAGTTACATTAGCATGAAAGTTAGAATGATAGTGTTAGGGTTATCACTAAAATTAAAATTAGAGTTAGCATTAAAGTCAGGGTTAGCAATAAATTTAGGTTAGCTTTAGTGTTAGGGTTGGTGGAAGTTTTTGGGTTAGCTAGGTTTGTTCAGCTTTTCTTTTTTCTTTATGTTTTTTTAATGCTGATTTTTAACAAAGCATTAACATCTAAGGCGATCAAAGGGTTAACAGTGTGTGGTGTGTGTTTTTTACTATGTGTTTTGTGTTTTACTTGGGAGACATGCTGCTTTGCCGAGAGATACAAAGCAAACCAGCATGTCCATACTGACAGGGGAGAGATCTGGATCTCTCCCCTCTCAGCTTTGCCGAATGATCACTGAGTCCTGGCTGGGAATCACCGTCCGGGACCCGGTGATTGACATATCCAGCAGCCAATAACGGAGCAGGTAGGGCGGTGCGCATGCGTGCGTGTCCCTACCTGGAAATGCAAACTCAAGTACTTTTACGTGATTTTGTGCAGCAGAGCCACCCTGTAGCAGTATATCTGCAATGGGGCGACTCTTAAGTGGTTAATTTTTAACATGTTGAATATCTATTTACTCGATGTAACCTCATCTTTTATAATTTACCAAATATTTGGGTAATTTATTGTGTTTGTTTGCCCTAAAATTCACTCACATGTTTTTTACAGAAATTTTGCATTTCGTAGACCTTTGTGGTAATATCATGTGACTATTTTATTCTCTAAGGTATCTGCTTTCAGAAAATATAGAATATTTGAGGGTTTTGTGTAATCGTCAAGCCTTAAATGATTTTTGAAATGTGTGCAAAAATAGCTCTGCCAGCAAAAAGGTTAAGTGCTGATTCACATATTGGATGTGGTTTGAAATAACATTGCTCCCTATGGTGCCTGCTCACAAATGTCCAGTGACCTGGCAGTGTGGATTGAAAAAGAGTCCTGTCCGATTTCTGAGCAGTGTGGTTTGGTTCAGGTGTGGATCATAAGCTATTGACTTCTATGGGAACCGTTTCTAAACCGCACATGTCATCAGCTGTGAACAGGATAAAATCCTGACCTGAACCTGATTTAAACCTGTCCTGAACCTGATGTAAACCTGACCTGAACTGCTGAACAACTACTGTATCAATTAGCTGTGAAACCTGAGCTTTAATCTGCACCACACATGTGTGAATCAGCACTAAGACTTGTTTGGTATCTATTTACTTGACTTTATATTTTTCCAAAAAATTGAGTATAATATATTATATATTAAGTTCATGCTCTCCACTGTGAATAGAAAGTGCTCCAGTGTTCCAACCCCTCTCCCCAGCAGACTAGGACTCACCAGACAAATCATAATAACTCACCAAAACTCATTATTAATGCTGGATTGTTATAGTTTCTTGTGAGTGTGTTTTTAAAACCAATAAAATGTTTTTTTTTTAAACGGTTTTACATTATTTGAGACCCTTTTTTCTTTCTTGTTCACCATGTGGGGAGTTCCACAAGAGAGGAGAGTCAGGACTGGAAGCCATATTAGATGGAAGCCATGGAAGAGAGGCATTGTTGTCTGGTGAGGTCTAGTCTGCTGGAAAGAGGGGGTTTGAACGCTGGAGCACTTTCTATTCACAGTGGAGAGATTGAACTTTCTTGAGAAGTTTATTTTACTGTGGTAGGATGGACTAATCTTTATTTTGAGTACTGGACCACTTTTGATTTATGGTGGAAAGACTGCACTTTTAAGTTTATTTAGAACTGTGGCAGGATAGACTAATCTTTATTTGTGAAACACTTAGTCACGTTGGTTTGAACAGTGGTGCTTATTTTATATAACACAAATTTTTGATAAATGTAATGAATAGTCACAATGATTTGGATAATCTTCCCACAGATGATTTACTAAAGAAATTGACACTGTTCACACAATCAGGTCCATTTAATAAAAAATGCACTCTGGCTAAGTGGCTAGCACTTCTGCCTGCCAGCATTAGGGTCATTGGTTCAAATCTCAACCATGGCACTACCTGCTTGGAGTCTGCATGTTCTCCCTGTGCCTGTGTGGGTTTCCTCCCCCAGTCCAAAGACATGCTGGTAGGTTAATTGCCTCCTGTCTAAATGTGCTCTAGTATGTTTATGTATGAATGTGAGTTAGGGACATTAGATTGTAAGCTTCTTGAGGGTTAGGGACTGATGTGAATGTATAATATATATGTAAAGTGCTGTGTAAACTGACAGCTCTATATAAAATAAATGTTATGTTTGCAGCACCTTTTTTATTGCTGTATTGTGTTACATATTTTGGGTATATTAAACTGAAGGCTGAAGCTAAATTGCACATTGTATTATAATTTTTGGGGTATTGTATGTCTGTAGCACTGAGTTGGGTGAATATATTTGTGTTTTTTAAAACAATATTTGGTTTAAAAAACTGTGGAGATGCCAAGTCCAGATGAGGGTGGAGTCAGGTCCCTAACTTGGTCTAGTGATAGCTGAGTGGAAGGACAGCAGGACCTAAGCAGAATAAGAGTCAGGACCAGGCAGAAGTTGGAAACAATTGGGCAGCGAGGTACAGATTCAGTAGGCAAAGTGTGGTTAGTAGTCCAAGCCAAAGTCAATAGCAGAGGCAGACAGCAAACATAAGCAGACAAGGATACTCTGAGAGCAGGGCCAGAGAGAAAGATGGCTCAGTAACAGGATCAAGATGCATATCAGGAACTGGATAGCAGAAAAAAGATTGAATTCTATTCAGCAGAGGGCTAGTGCAGAGTTCAGATTTAAAAAGGGCGTTTGGCGGCAGGGGACGCGCACACAATTGCATGCGTGGGTGTGCTTGTATGTGTGAGCAATGATGTACATGCAGTATTATACGTAGAGAAAATGTCATTCATATATACATTAGCTAGATAGTTTGCTTTAGCCTGACATCTGGAACAATGTTCCTAAGAAAGGGTCTGTTATAAATGAAGGGAATCCACAGCTGCTTTGCTTTCAAATGTAACAAAGTGGCTGGGAGCTGTCATTTTGCCAACAATTTAAACACATTTTTTTCTGTAAAATGTCATCCACCAGGCTGGTTAGATAATGTAAAGTTTAGCATTTTTTATGTTTCACTTTTGTTTTTTTTTTACTTTGGTGCATGTCCCCCAGGGCAGTGCCCCATCCTCTATGCTATTTGTTTGACAGTCTGTTAGCTAATAGCCTTGAAACTGGACAGAACTTTTTTTAACTTTCAGCTCCCACTGACTTCAAAATGGTTTGGATTTAGCACCCAATCCTTAGTCATGTTTGTTGAACTCTGATCGAAGTGTAGCCGACTCATCGGCATCGACATCAAGGAAGACAGAAGGGGATGTTGCCAGTGCCACTTTAAGGGACAAAGTCAAACTCTGCATATAAATATACAGTAGCTGCATAGATCTCTAGTATAAATATAATATATATAATAGTTGTGCGCATTAAGTATATGAAAGCTGTAGGCGACAGCCCTTTTGTTGTCAGGTCTCAGCCATTTTTTCATGAGCCCAGTGATCTTACCTCCTCCCTCCTCCTGCAAACTATGGAATTCATATCCTTAAATTTTAACACTCTTCAAAAGAGCCTGTTATCTCAACTTAGGGACAGCAGACACCAGCATGCAGGCCTTGGTCAGGGCTGTAAACCGCTAATTGAGGCCTGGCAGGATGCTTGTTTGTATGGACCATAAAACACTCTACAGATTACCACTTCCCTCTGACCTGTCGTAAAACAATGACAAAATCCATATGTTCTATCACACCTGACATGTAAGGCTATTAAGGCACTAGGAACATGTAGCGTGCCATAAAACGTCTACACAGCAGCCAGACGTACGCAACCTCTCTGAGACATCTGCTCAATTCACAACATAACAAAATCCACACACAATTCATAAAAACCAACAGGACGAAGACACATTAATATTAAATATATATATTTTGAATGGGAATATTATACCGAACAAAACAAGGTTATACATAACTAACTTAGCACATACGAAAAGGGAAAAAATAGTCTTCTCCCTCCTGGGTCACAGACCCATCTGAAATACTCTGTGTTTGATAGCCCTGGATACGAAATGTAATGCAGAACAATAATCTACCAGTTTCCAGAACACAACCTGCACATATTGGAAGATATTATTATTAGTATAAAACTGTGTGTAATGGAGGGCCCAATACAGTCATAAACTGTGGTGACCTTTCAGCCACCACCCCTTAAACCGAGTATATGGTTAGATGGCCTCTGTCAACATCCCTTTGATTCTACAGAAAAGGAAAATGTCAGGACCCTTTGACATCAACCGTTTTAACTTCAACCAAGGAACACCTAACCGGACTTGAGAGAACTAGGGCACCATTTTTGCTTGGACAATTGGGCTAAAACCAAGGACTTTGCAA